AAAAAAAAAAAAAAAAAAAAAAAAAAAAAAAAACCTCATGAGTTAGGTACCACTACTCCCATTTTATAGATGAGAAAGATGAAACAAAGAAAAACTAAGAACTTTGCCTAACATAACACTACTAATAAGTGACAGAATCCCATTTGTTTTTAAATACTATGGGTATATTTCACAGATAATCGAAAAGCTTTACACTGTAGTACATCCTTATTAATACCCTAAAATAAGGAGGTGCATAAAATTTCCCTTTTCATCACCATAGTTCAGGGAATTTTCCATAAGCAATCCTGTATCTGCTTTTAGGCAATTATTACAAGCAGCTGAAGATCCAAATCTGTGCTGTACATTATGATAACCAACAATTCAGACCACTGGCCGGTCTAAACCGAGATGTGCTATAAGTATAAAATATACACTGAACATTAAAGATTTAGTGTAGTGGATTGAATTATGTCCCCCCAAAACTTACTGAAGCTTGGATCGTGTTCCCCAAGTTTTACATATTGGAAACTTAGTCCCCACTGTGATTGTTAAGAGGGTAGGAAATCCTATTATGGTAATTAAAAGGTAGATCCTTGGAGAGGTGATTGGATTGTAGGACTGTGCAGTAGTGAATGGACAAAAAATGGTGATCAGGGGTTTGGTTCTGAGGGCATTACAAGAGGAGAGTCTGTCTTTCTCTCGCTCTCTGTGCTTCCACCATCTTGCAAGGTGATACCCCTGGGTCACTGTCGCCACCACCAGATGGACTTTGGACTTCCCAGCCTCAGAAACTGTAAGCAATAAATTTTGTTTTCTTTATAAATTACCCAGTTCTATGTATTTTGCTACAAGCAACAGAAATGGACTAATGCAGCCTACATTTTACCTCACAGAAGAGGAAAGATATACAAGGAGGCTGGCCCTACCCAATCTAAACACTATCCGCAGTAAAAAACCTAAGGAACAACATGGTAACCTGGATTCTATTTCACTGTTTTTCTTACTACAATCATTTTGACTTCTTAACTAAGGACAGTCTTTAGAATGCAAATTAAGGAAGATAAACTGCTTTACCCTCTTAAGTCAGAAAACAAAGCTTACAAATGATTGTCAATCATGTGTCAGACCCACAGAAAACTGCAACCCCAGACTCATCTCCCCCATTCCCTTCTTAGGGTTTCTACTGCCCTCTAACATTTGTTTACTATCTGCCACCACTGGACATTGGATCCACGATGAGGTGGATTCTGTCTGGCATGTCTACTGCCATATTCCCAACACCTAGTTCAGTGCCTGGCATATACTGAGTCTTCAAAAACTACTCTGTGCACCAATAGAGATAGCTAGGCACAAATCACCATGCTGAAAATTGATAGGGAAATTATCAAGCATAAAGATAGAATCAATTTTTCTGTCTTTACAGTATCAACTATAGTATTTTAGGGAAATAAAAGAGTCCTAATAGATGAGGGAAAATTTTATGTGGAAGAACTTTCAGCTCATGAATGCAGAAGGAATGAGAGAAATCACCATGTCAAAAGTTTGAATGAAAGAGATGATTTGGGCAGCAGTCGTCACTGAATGGAGAAAGTACTACATGAAATACTGACAGGTAACAGCACCAGGGGGGATCAGGCTGTCACCATGTGAATCCACTGGTCAATCTTAGCACCACCAAAAGCAGTATCTTCCGGGCCGGCCCGGTGGCGCACTGGATAAGTGCGCCGCTTGGGAAGTGCGGAGGCGCTCCCGC